CGCTATAGGGCGCGTGCGCTCGCCAGACAGACAGAGAGAGACATAGAGACAGAAAGCGAGAAATTACTCCCCAGAGGGGATGGTCACGCCGCAATCCCTTCTCCTCCATTCTCCTCTAGGGATCTTGGGCATGCACGCACACACGCCCGGCGTGAGTTTTAACTCACCAGGTCCGGAACACGAACCACAGTCGACTACGTGGGAGTCCAGCGACATAGCCATTACGCTAACTGCTGGTTCCCAAGACCGACTATGTTTTGAATCTCAGACCTGGTGGCTTGCTTTCTCACTTTCCCTCTCTCTCTGTATCTCTCTCTGGTCAAATTAAAATAAATGAATGAATAAATGAAATAAAATAAATAATTCTTTAAAAAATAAATAAAATGTCATTGATAATAACATTAAAATAGTGAATACACAGGACATATTAATAAGAGATATGTAATACTTCTACACTATAAACTATAAAAGTTAATATACTGAAATCAAGTAATACATACATAGGACTGGCATATAAACAGACACATAGATCAAAGGAATAGAATGCAGAGCCCAGAAATAAGCCCACACATATATATGGTCAACTAATGTTATGACAAGAGGACCAAGAATCTGTAATGGGGAAAGGAAAGTCTCTTCAATAAATGGTGCCAGGAAAACTGAATATCCATGTGCAAAAGAATGAAAGTGGGGCCTTGTGTTATACCATACACAAAAAAAATGAACTTACTGAAATGGATTAAAGACTTAAATGTAAGCTCTAAAACCATAAAACTCCTAGAAGAAAAGAGAGGGAAAGTTCCATGACATTGGCTTTAGCAATGAGTTTTGAGATATGAAACCAAAAGCACAGGCAAGAAAAGCAAAAATAAGCAAGTGGAACTATATCAAACAAACAAAAAAATGTTTACAGCAACGGAAATAATCAGCAAAGCAAAAAGACAACCTTCAGAATGGAGAAAATATTGGCAAACTACAATAATATATGATAAGGGGTTAATACCCAAAATATAAAGAACTCACACAACTCAGTAGCAAAGAAAAGAATCACCCAATTTAAAAATGGGTAAAGGTTCTGAATAGACATTTTCCTAAAGACATACAAATGACCAAAAAGTATATGAAAAGGCACTTATTATCGCTAATCATCAGAGAAATACAAATCAAAACCACAAAGAGATATCACTTCACACCTGTTAGAGTGGCTAATATAAAAAAGACAAGAAATAGCAAGCATTGGTGAGGGTGTGGAAAAATGAGAACCCTTGTACATTGTTGAGGGAATGTAAATTGATGTAACCATTATCAAAAACAGTATGGAGATATCTCAAAATATTAAAAATAGAACTAGTATATAAATCAGCAATACCATCTCTGAGTATATATATGAAGGAAATGAAGAGATCCCTGCATTCCAATGTTCATTGCAGAATTATTCACAACAGCCAAGACATAGAATCAACCTAAATGTCCACTGGCAGATGAATAGATAAAGAAAATGTGACATATATATACAATAAAATTCTATTTGGCCTTTAAAAAGAAGAAAACACCACCATTTACAACATAGATAAATCAAGAGGACATTGGTTTAATGAATAAAAGCCAGGCACAGAGAGACAAATACTTCATGATTCTGCTTACATGTGGAATATACAGATGTCAAACTCATAAAAATAGAGACTAGAGAGGTGATTGCCAGGGACTCTGGGGAGGGAGGGGTGAAGGGAAATGAGATGTTGGCTGAAAAGTACAGTTTCAGTTACAAGCTAAACAAGTTCTGGGGAATATAACATACAGCATGGGTAGAAAAGGATGTGGTAGGTAATTTGATTCAGATAATCATTACATGATGGACAGGGATATCAAATCATGTTGTATACAATATATAATCCATTTCATGGATCAAGAAATTCAATATTGAAAGTTGTCAAATATTTACAAATTAATCTGTAGATGTGATGCATTCCTCCTCAAATCTCCAAAGTATTTGTAGATGTGTATCTGGAAACTGATCAGCTTATTGCAAAATTGACTCTAAAGGGTTGGTCCTATAGCACAGTGTCTAAGCACTAGGCAGAAGAAACCAAGCCTTACAAGGCCAATTAGGGTTCAAATCCTGGTGTCATCAGTTTGAAAACATGCAGGTTGCACACATACATATGTCCATAATCCTGACGGGATGGAAAATTTGAGGAAAAATGATTGGTGTGACCAGACCCCATTTCTTTTCCCCTCTTGCTCTCTCTTTTGTATATGTAAATGTCCTTAGACATAAATAAATAAATAAAAATTTACTCTAGAATAGGAATGCCATTCTTAAAAACAGGTTAGAGGGCTTCTTCTACTGGATACCAAGACAGAAAGATATAGTAATTGAGAGAGTGCGGTTTTGGTGCAAACTGGACCAGTGGGTCTGATGGGTTAGACTGCAAAGCAGAGACTCAGACCCTTACATACACAGGCACTTCATTAACGACAGAGTGGGCACTGGAGTGCCTGAGGACAGGATGGCCTTTCCAATAAAGGCTGCCAGGTCATGTAGTAGAGATCCAGACAGACAAATAAAAACCTTGACCTCAACTCTGCCACCATGCACAAACATCGATTCTAGACTGGTCTTAATGGGAAAGGCAAAACAATGAACTTTACATATTCCCTTTGCTTTATCACATCCATTTGCTTTTATTCAATACTGTTGTTTTGGTCTTTGTTTTGTGACCAAAACTTCCATTTTAATTAGTTTTTTAAAAAATTTATTCATTTATTCCATGAGAGACAGAGTGAGTGAGAAGGAGACAGTCACCCCCAACAGAATTCTCATGCCACAATCCACTCCTAGAGTCAGTCAGCAAGTCACAGAAATTCATGTGCCTCGCATGTAGAGAGAGACCTTAGTATGCAAACCTGGGATGTTCTCATAAGGCCTCAGCATCATGGAGTGTTGTGTTACTGTTGTGCCTCTGAAGCTGGCCATCTACTTTAATTAGTTTTAAACTTTGTGTGCCTTCATGTAACAGAACACAACCGAATTGTTTCATGTTTGTCTTGAGATTTCAAATTATTTCAACCTTTTGTCCTTCAATTTAAGACTTTTGACTCATTTTCATGTTCTCTTTTTTAGAGACTTGCTTTATTTACTTATTATTTCTTTGTAATTTGATCAGAGAGGGACAGAGCGAGAGTGAGAGGGTGCATACATGCATGGGAGAGAGAGAGAGAGACAGAAGGAAAGTGAGAAAGCAAGCTGCCAGGTCCAGGACTCGAACCATGGTCAGCCATGTGGGAATCCAGTGCCCTTAACCACCACACCACCTGCCAGCCCTTCATGTTCTTATTCTACTGGTTTTACTGATTTTACTTTAGAAAATGTGCTTACCTATTCTTTTGTTCTTCCCTTTTTGTACACTGTTCACATGTTTGGCACATTAAGGCCCTTTGTGTAATCAGCATATACCCATTTTTTTCAGGGTTGTCAGAAGAAAGAAACATGTATATGGGTCACATCACCAAGGTCTTTATCAGAGACTTAGTTCCTCAATCACAATTAGAGACTTACACAATTTGAAAGTGAATTTCCATCCCTTACATTTTCCATAGTTCTTTTAAAATATGGCATTGGTAGACAGTAGTATGTGGGTGATTACATTTGAATGCAGAATGGGAATGTGTGTGCGTGCGTGTGTGTGTGTGTGTGTATCTGTCTGTCTGTCTGAAAGAGATAAAAGAGAGAAGAACAAAATTCTTAGGTTGGTTGACTCACGAAAGAAACATGAGAAGACTCATAGAAGCAGTAAAGAAGAGGTTATTGAAAAGACACATTGAAGGTCAGAGAGACCCATTTGGAAGGAATGAGGCAGAAGATGAGCAAAACTGTAAGACAATATGAGAATAAATGCATTTACAGAAAAGGGCAAAAGAGGGCTCCAGGAGGGCATTCCAAGGAATCAAACAGATAAGGCTGGTTCAAATGACCTCAATGGAGAAAAGTTGCAAAACGTGTACAGCCAGTTAGAAGTTGAAAAGAACAGGACAGATGGGATGATGAACAAGGCTGAAAGGATTGTTGAGAAATAAAAGAAAGGCACTATGGTTCACAGTTTCACAGATCACTATTTATGTGAGAGGCAAAGAGAGAAATGGGGATGTGTGGAGGCAAAAGGCATCACTTTCTGTATCAAGTGGGTCCCTGAGTGACTCCAAATAACACTAGGAGCTCAGCCTTAGATGGGCACCCCATCTTAGGAGATCAGAGCTACAGAGACCTGGAAACAGACTGAGTGTTTCCACCAAGGATCTGGTCCCCACCAAAGACTAGAACAGCTTGTGCAAAATCCTCACATGGGTATAGGAGGGAGGAAGAGACAGTGCCCAACACTGACCTTTCCAGGCTCTCATGTTGTCTAAACCAGAGAGAGAGATTCTTCTTGGCACCAGAGTGCCTTCCAGGTTCTTGCTGCTGCTGTGCCCACTCCATGGAAGCTGCTCCTCTTGACGTTGTTCTGAGAGATGGCTTGGCTTAGGGGGACGGGGAGGTGGCATGTTGGACAGAATATCTAGTTCTTTTGCCCCACAACGCAAGGAACCATGGTTTTTATCTACCTGCATGGTCGTGTTTAAGGAAGCTACCAGTGGTGGCGAAGAAGACAAGTGGTCCCTGGACGGCCCATTGATTTCTCTGTTCCAGATCAGGGCAGTCTGAGGCCTCATGGAAGGTGCCTCCTGAGATCCATTCCCATGGTGTGAGGAGTGGGCCAAGTGATTATGTAGTAGTGGCTGTGGGCAGTCAATGAAAACATCATCGAATGAAGTCTGTTCCAATGAACGGTCTGAGTTTGACCAGCTATCACATCTGGTGGGTAGACTGAAGGAAGAGAAGCATACAAGTCTGATTGTAATGTAGCCATCCGGCCAGCAAAATACCCATGCTGGCTTTGTCTCCATTCTTCCAGTACCATGTTTGTTCTACTTATATAGCCATATTCCACTCTATGAGCCTCTGTTACACCAACCCCGCAGTGATTTTTTTGTTTAAAATTCTATATGCGTCAGATACATATGGAAATGCAAGGTTGGAAATGAAAGCCACAATGCTGAAATACTTGACTAATCTTGTTTCATATATGGCATGCGTGTCTTTCATAGGGGTTGATAGTGATCTGAACTGCCTTGGCAGTGACAAGAGGAAAGGTGAGAGCAGACACATCCACTAGAACCTGCTGTAGCTCAACAAACTGATTTGATCACACATACTGAGCACGTATCAGTGGCAGACTCCTTAAAAGGGGGCAGTGCAGGCTCTGTGAGCAGACAGGGGCCTGGGTGTAAGCATACCTGGCATGGTGTAGTCTTCCAGTCTCACAGTTGGACAGGACCAGGTAATCAGGCAGGAAGAGCAACTCTGACTCACTTCTGGTTTCCTCAGTGGCTATAATATTAGTATGTGGGTCATCTCTTGGCAAGAGAGAGCTGGCAGGGAATGGCTGAAGGGAGGAGGGCGTATGAGAGAGGCTCTCGATGGAATCTGCTGGAGAAATCATTTCCCAGGTTGACATTTTAAGAATGGACATAACACTCACTCAAAAATTTTCAAACAGCATCTAAGAAGCCAAATGCAAGATGCAAATCACAGCTGGTGTTTGTACTGATACAGGAGATCATTCCCTCAAGTTATAAACAATGTCTGGGAAAGAAGGCCAATGTTCCAAGAATGAAGAGTTGAATCAGTTAAGAGGGAAAAAAAGTATTCTTGGCCTAAAAATCTGCTGTTAGTCTATACACAGCTTCATTTTTTTGGAGAGGTTTTTGCTATAGGGCGCGTGCGCTCGCCAGAAAGACAGAGAGACAGAGAGACAGAAAGCGAGAAATCATCCCCCAGTGGAGATGGCCACGCTGCAATCCCTTCTCCTCTGTTCTCCTCTCGGGATCTTGGGCACACACACACATGTGCCCAGCCTGAGTTTAAGCCACCAGAACAGCCGACTACATGGGAGTCCAGCGACATAGCCATTATGCCAACTGCTGGTCCCCACACAGCTTCTTTATGGCCCTTAGCAGTAACCCTACATCACTGTTTATTCACTCAGTATACACACACACACACACACACACACACACACACACACATACACACATAACAAGTCTATATGTATATACTTACTAACAAGTCTATATGTATATACTTACATATGCACTTACGCACATATGTATGTATGCATCTGTACATATATGTATGTGTGTGTATATA